TATCGGTATCGATATCGACGATACTGCCTTGAAAAATATCGGTATCGTATCGAAAACAAAATAAGTGGTATCGCCCATCCCTATTAGTCACCAGAAACTGAATGAAATGAATTAATTCAAAAAATAATAAAATGGAAGATTCTCAAAGCACCTTAAATGAAAGACTAGCGGTAACAGTGAGCACAGTGACCGAGCTATGGTGTTTTAGAAGAGATTGTGGTCCCCATGATAAGTTCTGGGTCTGATATGGACCGTATAGGCTCAGTGCGCGGCTTAACTTAACTTACCCAGACAGTTTTGGCAATCACTAAACGCCTAAAAATGCTGTTTTAAGTCAAACTGCACACAAACTGAAAGGTTTTGAGTTAAAGACGCATTTCAAGACTCGAGTCAGTGTAGAGCGCTCCAAAGTTTCTCACGACAGACGACTTTATGTGTTTGTTTCTTGGTCTGTTTGGGTTTGTTTCTAAACATATTCTTGATATGCATTAGTTCCACCAAGACAGTGCACGTCATTATTAAATCTAAAAACAGAGAGGTTGACATAAATATGTAAATAATTCATTGATAGCGAGCAATACTTAAAAATAGACTGATAGTAAAATCATGCAGAGCTTTCAAAATGCATACTGAAAAAGCCATGCAAACTGACTTCCTTATAAAGACTAAAGCAACAGCACACAGTGTATAATGTGAAAGACAGCCTGTAGTTACCTTATGTGAAAGATAAAAGCATGCAACAGGTCGTTATTCCCTTCTTCTTTTTGCAGAAGACTTTACGCCTTGTTTTTAAGGTCCAAATGCTTCCTCTGTTAAAGCTTGTCTTAATCCTTAGTTAGTAGTCTGACATCCATTAAAAAAAGACCAGCAGCGATGCTCGGCAGTGGTGCGAGAGGGAGAAAGTGAGTTATTACAAGTATCTCGGTAAGCCCCGCCCCTGAGGCGGACGAAAATAGAAATGTGGGCGGGGTTTTCCAAAAATAGCGCGCGACGTCTCACGCCTGCGTTCTCGCATTGTTTCCTTCTCATTGGCTGAGGCTGCAGCCACATCCACACTGCACTCTAGTGTCTGCTTCAAAAGTTCTGTGACTGCTCACCATCTGAGCTAAACTGCTGCTCCAGTAGCAGGGGCTGGAGTCGATGGAAATGAACAACAAAAGAAATAAAAATATAATAATAATAACAATGTACTGTCAGACTGAGCAGTATGATTTCTGAAGGATCATGTGACACTGAAGACTGGAGGAATGATGCTGCAAATTCAGCTTTGCATCACAGGAATAGATTACATTTGAAACTGCATTCACATAGAAAACAGTTACTTTAAATTGTAATAACATTGCAATTTTTTTGCAATATTTTAAACAGTAAAAGTACAGCATTCAAAGTGTACTGTTTATCCATTGTTTAATTTAAAACAAAATGTACATTTTTCTTTTTATGAAATGTTTGAAATTATAGCTCACTTGGTTTGATATGTTGATGTGCAATGCTATTTATTCATGCAAACTGCAAATAAATGACTGAATGTATTTTTGCAACAGTCTTTTTTACACGTCCACTAAAATTGTTTTAACTCAAGTTTAACTTTGTGTCTCTGTTCATCTTCAAGTCAATAAGAGTTTTATAATCTTTCAGTAGCAGTAGCAAGGAAACCTTGTGATTTCCACCAAAGATAGCAAGTATGGCAAAACAACCATGACGCAAGATCATGTAAATGTATATTAACAGTGCATGTCAGTAAGGCTTTTTTCTTTTCTTTAAGTCTTTCTCAGTAAAACAGAACCGGTCAGCATTCACGCGCCGCACACACGCTTTGAAACCACTACATGACCCGTTTCTCAGAAACCAGGACACACAGTGACGGTCTCCAGTGGGTTTCTGATTTCCCCTGTGAGACCCGATCGCTCAGTTCTCGTCAGCAGCTTATACACTGGCTGTGTCTCAAAACCTACCTACGTGCAGCTAGACTGCTGTTCTGGCCATCGTACACCCATGCAGCATTTTTATGAGCATGCTGCCATGAAAAAAACTATTTATACTTTGATTAGAAAGTTCAGTTTGTTATAAAGATGCTACAAACACAGCACTTTTCCATTCATTCGCTGTACGTGTAGTCAAACATGTACGTTTTGGCAGTGAAGCAGGTTCCAGCACATAAAATCACAATGCAATTTAATTATTTAAATCATTTCTAGAGCAGAGGAAACAAACAAAGACCCTCAAACACACACACACACACACACACACACACACACTGCATACATATAATGAAACTAAAGCAGCGCTGTGCTGCACCTGAATGCTCCTCTAACCGGGGGATCCCAACAGTCTTACCAGAAACCCTCATCTGTGTGTGTGTGTGTGTGTGTGTGTGTATACAGGTTTATATATCCTGGTGGGGACTTAAACCTGACTACACACAGACTCATGGGGACTCGTGTCACGGTGGAGACCTACATTGAGGTCCCCAGGGGTAAAAAAGCTTATAAATCATACAGAATTAGTTTTTTTGAGAAAGTAAAAATGCAGAAAGTTTCATGTAAGGGGTAGGTTTAGGGGTAGGGTTGGTGTAGGGCAATAGAAAATACAGTTTGTGCAGTATAAACACCATTACGCTTATGGAGAGTCCCTACAAGAATAGCTGACCAGACTTTGTGTGTGTGTGTGTGTGTGTGTGTGTGTGTGTGTTATAATCACACAGTCCTTCAGTCTGAATCATATCCGGCAGAAGCTGAAAATAACAAGACCATGATCTGACAGTGAAGCACCACAGCAGGGGAACAGGCGACACACACACACACACACACACACACACACACGTCAAAGCAAACTCTCCTACACTGCCAGCAAAGCCTTGACTTTCAGCATGTTTAACCTTTTACCATCTATTATATTCTATTGAATTGCTGAAGAGCATTCAGTGAGAAGTCTTTTTTGTTTGTTTGTTTAAAACATAAAATAAACCAGTCGTTTGAAAAAAAAATGTATGGCAAAATTTATGATGAAATTTCTAGGTCACCAATCAATTGTAAATACATTTGTGACCATATGATATTCCTTTGTGCTGAAAGGACAACATTCTCAAATCATGGATGTTGGATAACATGAATCATCTGTTTATGCATAAATTTGAGTTCATGTCGGTTCGAGTGCTGCAGCAGAGAGGGGGAAATACCAGATATATACAATACAGTGAAATTCGTGTTTCATTTTTATATCCAACATTTCACTCAAACGGTGACACTGATAACATCATTTATTATAAATAATTGTATTAGAAATAGAAAACTATGCAAAATGTAAGTCTTTTAATTCTTTTTTTTAACCTTTAAGTCTTTGACTTTCATTTATCTGCAGAACTTCTACATATCAGACATTATTGACATACAAATATCTTGATTATTGTTGCATGCAGTGGTGCTTTAAAGTTGCTAAAGTGTATTATAAAAGCACTGAGTATAGTGTATGCTTTGTTCATTATGCACAGGAAGTGCTCAACCTCTCAGTCACTCAGTCACACATTTCTACACCACAGATCCGAACACTTCAGAAATAATTACCCATGTTTATGAGCAAAACAATGATTAAAACCTGCTTTGCGAGAGATTTTTTATTTATGCTGAACGTAAAAAACTAAAACGTCAAAAATACAGGTTTGAAGGGGAGTAAATGATGACAGAATTACGTATTTAAGTGAACTATTCCTTTAATACAAAGTGTTAGTAAAGTGTCACTTTAAAGTGTAAAGTGTTAGTTATATAAAAAGTACTCTAAGTTTGTGGTCAGTAACATTTTTAATGCTTTTTATAAAAAGGTCAAAAGAACGGCATTTATTTGAAATAGAAAGTTTCATCATAAATGTTTTTACTGTCACTTTTGATCATTTTAATGCATCATTGTTGAATAAAAGTACTTTTTTTATTGTACTGACAGTAGTGTACAGCATATGCACAGCAAACACTGATATTTTCTCTATAACCGCTGGCTTAACAGAGTTTCGAAGACAGAGGCTGTTAACCATTATTCACTTTTCTCAATCCTCTTGCCGGCAGACACAAACTGAAGCTAGGTTAAGTTTCACGTTATAATGAGATTCTCTTCAACAGCTGTATGTCAGTTCAAATTCACACAGGATGCAGCACTCGTGGTTTACATTTTGTGGGGAAAAAACAGTTTAGTGGAAAACAAGAACAGACTGAGGCGATTTGATTTAGAGCAGTCCCTCTCTGCTGG